TTATGAGGAAAAAACAATGTTACAGACGCGACTGCTCTGAACCGGCACTAAAAGACTGCTTTAAAACTTTCACATAGTCTGTTGCCTTTAAGAAGTAAAAGCAGACAATACACTGTAATACAACTGTAATACAAGCCTCACTGAACATGTAACGAGTAAAATATTACTGAAAATTGATTAGTAATGCCTTACACTACTGCGTTACTTACAGCAAAAAGTAATATGTTATTGTAATGTATTACTTTTGTAATGCGTTACTCCCAACACTGGTGGTTAGAGGCATAGTTTCTATATTGCAACATTTGGAGGTAATAAATATCTTGAGCAAAATAAGCAAGCTGACATTCAGTACAACCTGTGCCTTTTATTTAGAATACATTCAAATGTAATTTACGTCTTTTAGTTTGTCAAAAGATTTAAAGTACCGTGTTTGAAGAGTGCGCATGTGCGAACGTGCTCTACTATGTAAGAACGAGCCAAATATTGAGTCTGGTAATAAAGTAAAATAACTGCATGAGAACAATTAGACATAGTCCTCAGATGACATGTCTGTTATTTATATATGAAGAGCTCTTTTCCAAAACGCTATAAATCCATTTCAATAGTTTTCAGGAAAACTACATTTTTTACCTAGACCCACACATTTTGCGAATATTCAAATTATCCTTTTTAAATGTTTTATTGCTTCAGTCTGAACATTTTGAACAATAATTATTAAATCAAACAACAATATTGTTAATGATAATTTAAAAGTTAATTTTATTTTTTTCCAAAACGCTATAAATCCATCCATTTTTTGTACCATTATTAGTAAAGTCATTTTTAGTAAAGAGTCAAACCTCAAACAAATAGTACCAATTTCAACATATGCATGAAAAAAACAAATTAATACCAATTTCAACATATGCATGAAAAAAACGAATTATTAAAAATGATCAATATATGATAACGATATTCAAAAAAGGGATGGGCACCCCTCCAGCACATGCACACACACACACAGGCTACATAACATGTGAGCAAAGCGGAGCAGCATGACGCTTAAATATAAGTTAAAAAAAAAAAAAAAAAAAAAATAAACATTTCACATTTGTTTTTAATAATATTACATTACTTATTTTTATTATTTCATCTATGTTGAGTAGGCTATGAAAAGGGAACCGCATGAGATGAGTAAGATAGGATCAAAATTCAAAAGCTGCCCAATATCGGAAAATATTTGGAGTGCGTCAGACATGATTTTGACCACTTATTAAGTTTTGTTTTTGTAGAAAGCTTGTAAATTTCGTTTCATATAAATTGTATCTTCATTTTAATAAATGTTTCATCGACAAATTGACTGGATTAATACATTAGAAGTAAATATCAGACAATATAATCAGGACACAGAGGCGCGCAGGTGAACCGGAGCGCGTCTCATAATATGAACCGAAACACCGCGATGCTTGCCTCACACAGGCCTGAGAACTAAGCTACAGAAAGCTTTAAATATCTACTTTTAAACAAAACAATTAAAAACTAAAATAAATTGGCAACTCGCTGCGTATGTAGGCTAATTCGAAGTATGCGTTTCTCTATGCGCGTTCACTGCGAAGATGGCGAGTAAGCATCATCAACTTTATCTTTGTTGCTGACACTGACAGAAAACACTAGTTTATTAATAAACAATTCAAATGTTTCATGCATAATCATTACTTTTGCCGGTTCTTTGTGGCAAGCTTTATGCATACGTTGAGATGCGGAATATGCAATTAAAAACGCTCATATGGTTTCTCTCCCATTTAATTAAATCAATATATGTGATTACTGATAATACAAATGGCTTAAACGATCTACTACTAGTCGACTAGAAAACTAGGACTCATTTTGAGGAATAAATGAACATAATAAACCTCTGTTCAGAGTGCCGCCGTGCTGGATTGTGTAGAGCGCTCATTGAATTTGAGGATTTATCGTGTTTAGGCTAAAAACAGGGCTGGCGCTTATCGCGGCTTGGAAAGAAACTGTATCTTGCAGTACATTTTAAACAAGGAAATATAGCGATTCGGCATGAGACGTTGATGGAGCAGTGAAAGGGTTCTGTCCACAGCAGAATGACACGACAAACTCATTTTTTTTTAAAAATGTCGTTTAACGCGTTTTGGAAAAGAGCTCTTCATATAAAAAAATCTAGCGTTAATTGGACCTCAATTGGAACAGTTTCTTTAAAAGTAGTTATTACTCCACCACGTGCGAAACCAACATGGTTGAACAATACTTTGCGACAATGGGTTTCGGGAAACAGTCGTGACGAGCTAGTTGACTTCTCCAACGATGCATCATACTATGGTAGTGAAGCAGCGAACTACATCGTTGTTACGGGAAACGCACCCCTGGATGGGATTCAGAACAATGTTCAAAACACAGATGGAGGAGATTGAGTCCATCAACACCCCCAAAGCTTCACAGTCCTAGAGCTCGTCCTGGCTCGACATTTCATTCATTACACAGTTTTGATTTATATGCTGTTAAATGTTGACGATAATGTTATTTTACATGCTTCTATTGCTAGTTTCTGTTTCTTCGCATGTGTTTTAATCAGCGCAGTCTCATCCTACTGACGCTTTTGACCATACGTCAACGTCCGCCGTATTAGGGTACCCTTAAAATTTGGTTAGATGACGTTATCTAATCCTAACCCTACCCCAGACCTAAACCTACCCCGTCACCTAACTGACGTTAAAGGTAAAGCGCCAGTTGGATGACGCCCAAGGATCGTCATCTAACCGACGTTTAAGGGTACCCTAAAACGGCGGATGTTGACGTATGGTCAAAAGCGTCAGTTGTATGACGTCTTGGGATGAGACTGTGTTATTTTAATCAGGAGATTCAGTACTCTTTCAGAAGATGCATAATAGCGCCCCCTACCGTATAACAGTGAAATCGTGGATTGGTGGGATATCCTGGCTCTTCCCAATTTTGTTTTTGAAGCTTTTGAAGCTCCAAAAACGCATCCAGTGGGGTTAATAAAGGCCTTCTGAAGCGAAGCCATGGGTTTTTGTAAGAAAAATATCCATATTTAAAAGTTTATAAACTGTAATCATTGGCTTCCGGCAATGACTGTACGTGCGTGCAGGAAAAAGTCCAGTTCAGGCAGAAGGGTGACACCTGACTCGACATGTGACGCAGCTATTCTTCTCTTTTATCGAAATCCTCTAACTTTTTTTTTTTTTTAAACTCATGACTGGTGTTTTTTTTTGTCCTCGGCACTTCCGCGTTCATCAATACGTCATGTGTCGAGTCAGAGGTCACTCTTCTGTCTGAACTAGACTCGCGTACGGCCGTTAGCGGAAACCAGTGATTATGGTTTATAAAGTTATAAATATGGATATTTTCTTACAAAGACGCATGGCTTCGTTCCAGAAGGCCATTATTAACCCTCGGGAGTGTTTGGCTGGAAGAATAGAGTAGTATACACCTACTGTATGATGGCTTGAGGGTGAGTAAATTATGGGATCATTTAAGTTTTTGGGTGGACTAACCCTTTATGATTTCAGAAAACACTGTGACGGGTAAAGTATGAGGGTAAACATATATACCTGACTCCAAAATACCTTTTGATGGAGTGGGTCAAATTTAAAAGAGAAAAAATACAAGATGATCAGGATTGTCTGAATAGGTTGAAAGCAGAAAACATCTGGAGCACAACTACTCGCACAGACTTCGTGAAAACCAGAGAGGAAATTACATCCGTTGAACAATAATTCAGAGCGGAACGTTTTTCTTTTCTCCCTCTCTCCACTCTTCCTCTCTGATGGACGGTAAAACGTGCAGGTGTGGGTTTTCTTTGATACGAGAGTCCACATGTTTCATTCGGAAGGGTCTTGGCTGCCTTTGGAAGAAACCGTCAAAGCCAGAGCCTCTCCTCAGCTGACCCAGAGATTGTCTAGACCAGGCAAGGTCCACAACCAACTCTATAGATGGCAGACGTCAGATCAGTCTGCTCTCATTGGGTTCCGGCAGTGCACAAAACCACCACACTAACTCTGGCTCTGGACTCTGTTAATTAATTGAAAGGGAAATTGAGAGAGGCATCTGTAATGAAAAAATAATAGACCGAAAAAATAACACAAAGCCAGATTTCGCGTGTTGTAATCAAGGGTTGCATTGTGACTCTGTTTTTGAAGCCGGCCAACTGATGTAGGCGGTATTTTGAAATGTGAGATCTACTGTGTTGGATTACTCATAATTACGCTAGGAGCACAATCAATATTGGTGCCGTTTTTCATCTTGATTGCGCTTTAATATCGCAAGAACGGAAATCAATGATCCCGGTTATGGCCAAAAAGTTAAATATGCGGCCATGTTGTTACATTAATGAACTCATAAACTAATCAAGCATAAACTCATAAACTAAATGTCAGTATTTCTCTGACACGCATAGACCTAGATTAAACAACTGAGCAGTTCATGACTGGTGGGATCATTATCCAAAATGAGTCACAGGAAAAAACATTGAATAAGTTAAATAATACTATAAAGCTAACTACATAATCATGCATAGTTTAATACACTTCTAAAAGGGAGAAGAAAACTAATTCACAAAATTCATGTATGTGTCTTGGGCTAGTATTAATTGGCGGTTTTTCGTATTTTGTTACATATTGCTAGATCTATCAGTTCATGGTTTGAGAAATTGTTATACAGTGTTTATATAAATAAAAACATTATGATGCACACTACCATTTCAAAATTTGGGGTCAGTAAGATTTAAAAAAAAAATACTTTTATTATAACTAAAATAGTACTAAGACTCCAGTATGCAATCAATTGATCAAAAGTGACATTTCTGAAAAAAAAATGTATCACGGTTTCAACAAAACAGTTTTCAACATTGATAATGATAAGAAGAAACGTTTTTTCATCATCAAATCATCATGCGACTGAAGAGATGATGCTGAAAACTGCATAACTGATATCAGTGCTATTGACCATTCGTTTCTCTCTCTTTTGTATTTTAGGGATCTCAGTATGAACAACATCAGTGAGATTCAGCCCAACGCTTTCCACAACCTGCACTTCCTCAGTGAACTGTAAGTACTGTAGCTTATTTCAGTTGCGTTCACGCTACACACAAAAAATCCCGCTGATGAGTGGTTATTTATGTGCAGTGCTTCAGTGAAGGTTAAGTTGGAGAATGAAGCAATTCCAGATGTGTTATACAAGACCTAGATACAATAAAACCACGAATAAATAAATAAATGAAATCATCAGCTTGGGTGATAATGACCTTATGCATGCATTGTGTGTTTGGGTAGTTGACCAATAACATGTTGATTAACTTTATTTCTATTAGAAGTTTATTCATATTAATTGATTACCCTATATGTTTTACCAACAAAAAAAATTAATAAAGGGATGGACTATTTCAATTCACTAGTATTTTATACTTGGAAAATCTCTTAATCTATAAACAGATACTATGTGTGTGCGTGTGTGTGTATATATATATATATATATATATATATATATATATATATACAGTGTTGGGTGTAACTAATTACTAAGTAATTAGTTACTGTAATTTAATTACTTTTCCCTTGAAAATGTAAAGTAAGGGATTACTCTTCATTTATCTGTAACTTAATTACAGTTACTTCTGATGTAATTGAGGTAAATACTGTGTAGATCAATCCGATCTCACAGCGATTCGTATGATTTCTTGAGGAATCTAAATATTACGACCGCACTCGTACAAATTCGTATGAATTATTGTTAAAATATGTATGAAAAAAGTGTGAAATGTCATGAGATCAGACATAAAACAATAGTGGGTTTAACATCAAAATGTATTGTCTGATGCTAAAAAGTTTGTTTTTATAATGTGACCTTCTCCACCTTGGTCAAATTAAGGATCATTCATGTATTTTTATAGTATTTATTTGAAAGAAGTAAAACAGATTCATGTCTATCCTTGTATTATCCAGCTGGTTGAGATTGATAAGGGATTTTGAAAGTAATTAGTAATTAAATACTTTTTAAAGAGAGTAATTAGTACAGTAATCTAATTACACTGTTGAAGAGGTAATTAGTAACTAGTAATTGATTACTTTTTTAGAGTAACTTACACTGTATATATATATATATATATATATATATATATATAAACACATATACATCACCGCGATTTTTACTTACAAAATCCATCACATTATATATATATATATATATATATATATATATATATATTGTATATATATTTAGTAAAATAGCTAACAGCCTAAAATATATACTTTTATTATTATTTCTTGATGTCTTGAAGCATAAACCTCATTACATTATGTTAAATTAATATTTAACATATTTTTGCAGTTTTTCTTATTTTGTTTTGAAAATTAAAAAAGCAATAAAACCAATTTTTTAGCAGTTTAAATGATTTTTTTATGTTTTCAAAGTACAAATATTTTAATGCAGTATCTCAATTAATATGATCTACTAAATACGAATGCTTAAAATGAAAATGAAAATAAATAGTAAAAGTTACCTTAAAAAAAAATGAAAAAAGTTTTCATCACTTTTCATCATTATCATTTTATTTTGGGCAAAAATGTCAAGGCATTTTTCATAATTTCATAAATGCTCTCTTCAAAGCTCAAAGATGCTACAGTCCTTCATCCAAGCCCCATAAAAGATCAACCATATTTTATAGGAACATCTATAGCATGAACATGCTCTGTCTAGACCTTTACATGTCAGGCATCAATCAAAATAAGTTGAAGGCTAAAGCCAATATAGCATGTCTGCTCACACTTTCCCCCTGAAGGACCAATTAGCTCAGGTGAGCCCTCGCGTAACCCCTGTGAGAGTCTCTGGAGAGCGTTAACACTGAAATGAAAAGCACCTGGCCGCCGCGGCGGCTCGCACATGTTAGCGTCAGCGGGAGCAGGTCTGCGGAGCAGCTGGGAGTCGGGACACCTGACTGACACTAACAGGATGGACTGGGAATGCCCAGAGCTGTCAGAAAGTGTTGGGGAACATGCAAGACGGCAGGAGGCCTGCAGGAAATGTAACATTTTACTAGGACTCAATATTTATGGCGTGGCTGTCAAAGCAAACGGGCAACTCCTCATTCCACTTCACTAAATTAGTCCTCACTTCCCTGGGAATAGCGTGCTGTTGATACATTTCACACAAACAGGTTGATGCAGAGGAAGATGTCGAAGCTTCAACACAATAGCAAACCTGAAACCATTCTGTCTAAAAAAAAAACCTTGAGTTCTAACCCCTCTGTTCAACTAACTAGCTAACTAGCTAAGGCTAGGTGCTGTCAATTACCTCCCGTAATATGTCATCATGAGCCAATGCGTCAAGATCCATCACCATTATGAAACTGCACTTCACTTTTTTTCCCAGTGTCTCACAGAAGAGGTATATTCAATCTTACTGATTCTGTGTTAAAGGGATAGTTCACTTTAAAATTGCTTACCTCAAGGGCAAGTTTTACCTTTCACTGTGAAGATCTAAACATATTATTTAGATATACAGGAAATCGCAATGGAAGACGATTTCGATATATCTAAATATGTTTCAATCTCCACAGAAAAAGGTAAAACTTCCGAAATCCCTCCGTAAACAATGAGTGACGTACATGCGCGACAGATCACTTGGACACGGCTGTGGTTACAAGAGGTAAAAACCATATAAATACTGTTCGTTTTCTTACACAAACCGCTCGTTTCGTGTCTTAGGTCATCAATGTGTACTTACATTCACAAGTCATTAAATCATGTTTAATTTGGACTTCTCTGTGCATGCTCTTTGAGGTGGACCCCATAGACCTCCATTATATGACTAATAGTCGACAACGGTTTGACCTAAAAATATCAAAATTGAAAATACTTTGAAAACAAAGACACCTATATATTGGATGCCCTTGAGGTAAGCTAAAACATTAATCAAAAATTAATTTCAAAGTGAACTCTCGCTTTAAATGAACTTCAGGAAATACCTATGAAATCACGGATAGATGTAATTCATCAATAATAATAATAAATATTAATAATAATAATAATATAAATAAATAAAAACATAAAAAATAAAGCATTTATAATGTCAATACAAGGATATTATTATATAACAATATATTATGATATAAGGATTTTATAATAATAATAATAATAATAATAAATAAACAAATAATGCATTTAGAATATCAATACAAGCATTATATAACAAATGTTTGAATACAAGGATTTTATTTGTGCATTCAACTAATAATAATAACTATAATAATATAATTCAGTAATAAATCAATAATTCTAATAATTCATTTAAATATCAATAAAATTATCTTATTACATAACAATATATTATATAAGGATTTTATTAATAAATAGAAAATAATAACAATAATATAATAATTCAGTAAATAAAGGAATGTAATAATACATTTAAAATATCAATACAATGATCTTATTGTATGATACTATATTTGTATGTAAGTGACTGTATTAATACATAGAAAATAGTAATAATTCTTTTGGTAACAAACAAACAAATGAATGAAACGAACGATTGATTGATTGTAATATTGTATCACAATATATTGATGTAAGATTGTTTTATAGAGATACAATCTCTCTTTTACCTCTTTTAAAACAAAACAAAATGAAATGAACATACAAACACAAATGAAAACCAAAAAGCCACACGATAAACAAACTAGTATCAAGAAATAAAAAACAAATGCAGACACACCTACACATAATACATCATTAAAAAAAAAACATATCAATATCTAAAGTGTTGATGCAATATTGCGAGAAAAAGAATTGGGATTTAATGATATAAAACTGTAACGCCTCAAGCGCCGCTCGGCTGATGTGAACCATATTAGCATTGGACACCACATTAAAATCATATTATTTTTATTTTGACTGTATTTATTGTTAATGAATATAATAGACTCCTTTGTTTCTATTCAACAACTGCTTTATGAGCACTAAGAAACTGCCAGAGACAGTTTGACTGAAAACACATTACAGTGGTATTAGTGTGAGATAAATTTCAAGCTTAGCTCTCTTTGATGTGCTGCTGGGAATGATGAATTTGTGTGTTTTTACCCTTTCTGGTACTCATTTACACCCCTAGGCACCGCACTTTGCAGAGTAATTTCACGAGTCTAAATTACAATTCTGAGGATCATCTGTATGCCCCGGGGACAACGGCGGGCTCTTTGGGAGTTCTTGCTTTTTCTTTAGTCTATGTTACACCTTAAGCTGCCCACAAAGAATCGAATGATTAATTGGAACAATCATATGTGATAAAATGCATATGATGAGAGAATACAGACAAGTCTTTATGTTTATGGTCCAGAGAGGCGGATCTGACCCGACCCAAACGCTATCCCTCCACATCCTGTGTTTGAGTTATGCGGTGCGTGTCTACTTCAATCAGAGTTCAGACTGAGCCATCAATATCTACTTGTTCACTTTTGTAACACTATAACCCACCAAAGTCCCTCAGCATTACATAAACTTCTCCCATGACCTGGGGCTGTCAGATTCTGCCGGCTGTCCTATCAACTGCAAGGTCATCTGCGAGCGTGGAAGGGGGAAGAGGAAGTCTAGTTGTGCGCCTTTGGGACAGATGAAATGCGATCTGAGCCGAGCATGTCCTTTTTACTTCCTAAAGCCCACCTTGTGACTTCTGCTGTACCTCACCTTCTTTAGAGTTGATGGTTTTCTGAGTTGCGATCCAAAAGATAGTGAGCTTTGTGTACTGTCCACATGCTGTAGCAAATATTAGGCCAGATTTACTATCATCTTGCACCAGAGAATACACAACACTATCTCACGACCGATTCGTACGAATTCGACGCATGATTAAAAAGTGGCTAATTCGTACTAATTCGTACGACCTCACTCGTACTAACTCGTACGATTTGTCTAAACCCACGTGATGGTTAGGTTTAGGGGCGGGGTAAGTCATTTGTACGAAGTCATACGAATTGGCCAATTCCTAAAATTTGTACGATTTAGCAAAATCGTATTAATTCGTACGAGTGAGGTCGTATGAATTGTTACGAATTAGC